TACAAGCGGACAATGGACCGACCACATGTAAAAGCAGAAATCAGACCCACAGACTGCACAGGAGACCAAGCCCTTACCTGCAATGAACAGCCCAGGATGCCCACCTGCTATCTGCAAATCAGACTTGCAGGAGTCCTGATCGCTGTCCCTAGTGACGATCCAAAACGCTAAGCAACAACACCCTGTAACAATCAGCCCCAGCTGGTCAGAGCTTAATAACTCACTGCCCTGACTCCTGCCCCGATGTCCATTGAGGACAAACCGAGAAAGACAAACGTGCTCCCCCGACACTCACACGGGACACCCCGATTCCAGTTGCCGCCCCAGCTCCCAGGCCAGCAGCCTCCATCGGGGCTCACCGGGTGCCTTCCCTTCCCCTGGGAATCTCCCACACCCAGCCTGCTGGAGTCTCTGCAAAAATGCAAGTGACGGCGGTCGGCTCCCTAACTCGAAGGAGCTCGGGATAAGTAGCCTCTGTCTGTTGTCGTTTGGGCAGTCTTTGCTTATTTCCACCCTACTAAGGAAACAATTTGAGGCTCCCAAGTAATTTTGGGGGTGGCCTTCCCAACTTGGTGAGGTTTTGTAAACCATCAGAGAGAGAGGCTGGGAGTGTCTGGCGAGAGACATGGTGCCTGAGTTATGATCTCATTTTAAGGTAGTGTCACAACCTCAATTTTTCAGTTTCTTTGTAAAGTCAGCAACCTCCATCTAGACTTCTATATCCCGATTAACCTCTGCACTCAATTCTATCTAAATAACTTTAAACTACTGCCTAAGTTCTGAAGATCTTTGAACATGACAATGCTGTATTCTTTTTAAACCTTCTTTTCTGAATAGGTCACTTCTTACTTGGATTCTAATATTCCTAGGCCACATCTCCCTTTAAAGAGGTCACTCCTAGTACAGGAGGGAGACAGAGGGTTCCTGGGTGAACTCCAACACAGTTCCCCCTCCTGGGATATGAGGTGTCAGAGGTCTTCCTCTTTGGGGAAAAAAATGGAGTGGAAGAGGGAACGTGGGGCTTTTCCATTGGACCAGTCCTCACTGCGGCGAGGACATTTTCTCAGACACCTTCTGCCGTCAGGACATGCGCTGACACAAGTGGGCTTGGTCCCGGGGAGAGGCCTCTTGCCATTCAGGGGACATTGGCCTTGGACAAAGCTGGGTCCTGGGGAGAGGCCTCTGCCGTCAGATGTGCCTGACAAGGATGGTTTCTGGGGCGGATGCTGTTCAGGTGTCAGGAGGACCCTTCTGTGGGGACAACTGTGTGAGACACCTCGCTTGCGGTTGACGCACACGAGAGTTTAACGATGGCGTGTCTCTGGCTCTCTCCCCGATGGCCTTGGGTGTTTTTGTTCCCCACATATCAGAGAAGGCAAATGAGTTGAACGCCTACTGTTTGTATCTCACACATGAGAGGAAACCATTTGTTCCTTAGGAAAGGGAAACACAATGATTGTTCATGGTTTTTTATCAGACGCTTCACCCGTTTTGTTGGTGGCGTGTGGAAAGAGCATGGTTCTCTGCTGTTGCTACCAGCCTCCGAGGGGAGGGATGGATCCTAAGGAAGGCCGGGCTCCCAACGCATTCGGCCAGAAAACAAGGCTGTGGTGGAAGCCGGGGACAGCTGTTGGGCCCTAAGTATTGATAGCCATGATTTACCTTTGATTATCTCTCCTTCGGGCTCTAAGATGGAATTCTCAATTTCCCGATTCCATCACCGGCCCCTCCCTCTTCTTTCCTTCTCTGATTAATTTCCCGCCTTTATCTGGCCATCCACACACATATCCCTGTGTTTGTGGGTAATACCGATCCTTATTTCCTTATCTTACCTTGCTCAACGAAGATTCGAAGCAACTGGAAGGACATGAACAATGCTCTAGAAAGAAAAAACCCATTAAATTGAAAAACAAGAAGAGGATGAAAGGAAATTAGGATGCAAGGGTGGGGTCAGAGACCAAAGGTGCCTCCGTCCAGAGGGAAGTCCAGCACACCCCACGTTTGGCCTCACACAGGGAAGCCCTCATTAGGACCAGCTGTGAGGCTTCCCCTTCAACCACTCTATTTGATACTGAAAATCAGGGTGCTCAGGAGCTGCCATGTGCCTGTTTTATTATTATACAAGGAGGGCTGTGCCAACTACATTTGTTAGGATGGGAGTTTTTCTTTGTGTTGGTTCCTGCTCGACCCAGGGTCTGAACGGTGACTGATAACTTGTGAGTGTCGAAGTAAGTGAAACACACAGGATGAAAGCCTGCTTGTCTTCATACACTTAAACTGCTTCTCCCTTAAGACCCTGAGCTCTGCCTCATTACCCAGCTGTGTTGTGTAAACCAGCAAGTGTCTGAGACAGGTCTCAACCAATTCAGAAGTTTATTTTGCTAAGGCTGAGGACTAAACTCTGATTTTTTTTATCTTGCCCAAATTCCTATTGAAGGGGTCTGAGGAGTCACGCCCTGCAAACCTTACATTCTCATCAGATGGGTTTTATTCAACCTATATATCACGACTTAATTTTCCAACCTGACTGTGGCACATTACAAGACAAGGAAGAAACTCAAAATATTTTACCACAAAACATGTTTCTTTGCCATATTTTGAAATGGCCCTGCAAAGCTGTTCTTTGTAGGGGGAAATTTTGCATCTGTAAAGAATCTCTGTTAACATAACTGGATCTTTTTCTTCTAGGCCCTCTCAATCCTGAAGAGATTAACTAAGAGCTGAGTAGGAAGGCCAGGCGTAGTGGCTCACGCCTGTAATCCTAGCACTTTGGGAGGCTGAGGTGGGAGGATCACAAGGTCAGGAGTTCAAGATCAGTCTGGCCAACATGGTGACACCCCATCTCCACTAAAAATACAAATGTGATGGTGTGTGCCTGTAATCCCAACTACTCGGGAGGCTGAGGCATGAGAATTCCGTGAATCCAGAAGGTGGAGGCTGCAGTGAGCCAAGATTGCACCATTGCACTCCAGCCTGGGCAATAATGTGAGACTCCATCTCAAAAAATAAATAAATAAAATACAATCGGAACAGGAAACATTAGTCATCTATCGTCTCTAAGAGAAGTCACTAAAGACTTCAAAAAAACTTTGGTTTCCACAATCTTTATCTTAACTTGAACATTCCCTTTCTATCAATCCCAGGTCTTTAGACAAACTCAACCAATTGTCAACCAGAAAATGTTCAAATTCACCGATAGCCTGGAAGCCCCCACTTTGAGTTGTCCCACCTTTCTGGACCAAACCAATGTATTTCTTAAATGTATTTGATTGATGTCTCGTGCCTCCCTAAAATGTATAAAATCAATCTGTGTCCCGACCGCCTTGGGCACACGTTCTTAGCACCTCCTGAGGGCTGTGTCATGGACCATGGTCACTCATATTTGGCTCAGAATAAATCTCTTCAAATATGTTACAGAGTCCAACTCTTTTTGTTGATAATGTGCCCCTTCATGCATTTGTAATTTTTTTCTGTACTCTTCACCTACTTTATCGTAATCCCCTTATGAAAAGGTTTTTATAGCCATTATTTTAAGAGCTCTCTAGTACTCCATAAAGTTCATGGATCATGAATTGCTTAATCATTCCTCCGTAATAGGAGTTTAGGGTTGTTTTTATTGATTTTGGTACATTTGTAATTGTTTTGGTACTTCTAGTATAGACTGAGATTGAGGCAAAATATAAATTTTCTAAGATTTTTGAAAATATTATTAAGTTGCTTTCTAAAATATTTACACCAATTCTCAGGCATACTGATCCTACGGAAAAATAGCTTTTAATAATCCTAACAGACAGACCTGAGTCACCACATCATTAACTTGGCTTGCTCCTAAAGACAGCCTTTGACAGAGCTTCTTCCACCCTGCGGGTCTAGAGAGACAGAGATGCAGGGTCGCAGGAGTGAGTCGCCCCTCTCTTCTGTCAGCTCTGAGGACTCTACCAAGGACTGGAGGGGGACTCACTGCAATCACCAGCACTTCCAGGAGGCAGTGCTGTCGCCAACGAGCCATCAGAACACACTAGCTTGTAGGAAGTGCTCAGGGGACCTTGAATCGTGAAGCAGCTGAAGGCACCACTGGGAATAAATTATGAAATTTAACCAAGGTTATCAGAGTCCCTTTCTCAAATTTTATATTTTGGGTGATTGTGTCTATGAGAGGAGGGTAGTTTTGGAATTTTAAACCATGACAGTTACTAATACAGTTGGTGTGAAAGTGGGTAATTCATTGTTAAATTATATTTGAAGGGCAATTAAGTTTTATGGGTGACTTGCTGCTGGGATCCTTGCCAACAGCACGGAAGTAACAAGGCATCATCTTTCAACACCCAGGTAACCAACGATGGGCCGCCTGTCCTTCTGCTCCCCGACCTGAAACTGGAGAAGGACACGTCTCCCAGTTAACCTGAATCAGTCAGGAGATGGCAGCCAGTTTGGGACATTTTGTAAAACAACGGTCCTGGGCAGTTGAAAACTGTCTGTGATCTGGGAGACAGGCAGGCTGAGAAACTGCTCAGTAATAAGGTGACAGGGACAGAGACAGGGACAGGGACGGACAGCTGGGAGCAGTGCACCTCCTCGACTGGATTCCAGAAGAAGAAAGCTTCCACGAAGGATGTGACTGCCCGGCCTGGGCGCGCCAAGATGTTGACCAAAGCACAATGGCAACGCCCCCAAGTGTGGTGGCTGCTGGGCTGCTGGCGGAGAATTCCCTGTCCAGGGGAGCGCTGTGCTGGGAGGCACCGTGTCCTCCATCCAGGCTGGCTCTCAGATGGCCTGGCCCAGCGAGGGGCAGGAGCAACAGCAAATGGGGAAAAGGACGGCCCAGTGGGGATGCTGAGACACATAGTTTTCTAAAAGTCATTGACTCCTATATGCCTCGGAGTTGAGAACCAAACTGGTAAAAATGTTAAAAGCAACTAAGCTGGAGTGAAAAGCTTCGAGTGGATCCCACCGGGCCCCAGACAGCATTTCCCAGACTCAAGTGAAGACGCAGACCCGGGTTAGAGATCCTTCGTGCTACAAATGTGGCAACACCTTTTTTATTTAGAGTAAGATGTGTTAACATCCAGCATGACAAAATTTGTACAAAGTTCACAATTTAAAAATGAAGTATCACAGCAACTTGTGATTCCACACATTTATAGCAAAATTAAAGTGTCAACAAACCCATGCCGTGTAGTACAAAAATAAATCAAACTTCAGTTCCACAGAGAGCACAATAAATAGTTTATACAAAATTCTGTCTTAATAAATGATTACTTAAATTAACTTAGAAATGAATATGAACAATAAGTTATAATAAACTCTGATGACTCACAATAATTCCATATGAAAGGTCAGCATTCTAATATGTGACACTTTTGTGATCCCTATATAATAGTCACAGATAACTTTTGATTTGATATTATGTACCAACGTTAGATGAGCAGCAGGTTTGTGCTTAAAATCCCTTTCCATTGTACATAGGTGATAACAATAAGAATCCAAAACTGATACTATCTAGTACTCTACTAAAAGCATTACTATATTGGCAAAGAAGCTGCAGACACAACGCGGTGGGGAAATGCATATGCTGTTATGAACAATGGGGGCCCTAAAGGCGGCTGGGGCCCTGGGCCACACGGACGGCCTCAGGTGACTGCAAGCACCTTGCTTCAGCTCTCAAACGCATTCTGAGCATGGCAGCTGCAACCAATAGCACAACAGAAAGGGGGCGCTGTACAGAGAAGGTTCCGCAGAGCCCCGAAGTAATTACATCATCTTTTTCCCAGCTAGTTATTAAAGTCCTTGTGGAAAACTGTAAGCTTTTGTACAGTGAACAGTATAAAGTGCCGCTGGGATATACATATATTTATACATATATATATATACCGAGGTTGAGTATTGTATCAGAATATTTGTCGTGAGATCCCTGTAGTCTCCCTTCGCAACATTATTGATCGGCCGTGAGGGCTCCTCTATCATCCATCCAGGTTCAGTGTCACAAGGCTACTGACACGAGGAATTGCACACCTCCGTACGGATATATAGGACAAGGTAAGTGCAAATAGTCGACTGGCACATTGTGGGGACAATGACCCTGTAAGTCCTGTTCTGCTAAAAATATTTTTTTTTTATTTTTACAAAACCCATCTTTTTTTTTTATTTCATAACAAAAATTTAAAGTACGTCTGTACTTCCTGCATAACATCAAGACATGGAAGGAAGAGATGCTATTAAATGGAAATCAAGTCAACATCAGAAAACACAACACATCGTCAAAGGACTACTCAGAAGGGGGAACGCAGCGCTCAAAAGTGGTCTTATGCATACATATAGTGCAGTCATTGGGAGTAAAACAATCAAATCTGGAAGATATAAACAAGTCTAAGATGATCTAGTTTAAAGCAAAAAAGTGCTGAAGTATATTTAGTTACTTTTAAAATCTGATTGCATTCATTCTTAGAATAGTCACAAGAAATCAAACAACAAGGCTCTGCAAATGCTCTATGGTCAACTGGTCTCCAGCCAAGTGTAGAACAGAAACGTCGTGGTAAGAGTCCTCTGAATAGGACCAAATGCTTATTCAGAGTCAAAGTCGGGCAGGGGGAGCAGGAGAGAAACTTGACCGAGCTGCCTTCCCACCAGATCCAGCAGAAAACTCGGTCCAGTAACTAGAAGACTCACAAATCATTTGCCTTTATCCCTCAAATGTAAAATAAGAAGGTTCATAACAGTAATAGGAATAATCATAATTTTTTAAAGTGAAAAGGGGAAATAAATGTTCTTAAATTATCTTTTAGCTTAAATCGAAAACACACAAATTCTGTTGATAAACTACATTGCAACAACAGACAGTTCAGAGGGGCACGAAACTCTAGGGGAGATACGAGAAGGTTGTTCCAAAGTTTATTGAAAATGGAAAAGGAAATCTTCACGTTGTCCACCTCTGATAAGATCCTGTCTTAACTGGAGTTTCCATAGTCACACCATGTAATGCTTAGGAGTTAATTTAAAAGTGCTGTTTAAGCTGCTTTGAATCTTCTGCCAAGTTTCCATGGCTTGATGTTGTCTTACAATAAATTACTTATTTCATTTCTTACAGTTAATCCATATGCCATTTCCTTGGAATGCAAAAAACCTCATTTATTGCCCCCACCATACACCATCCTCCTAAAACAAACAAACAAAAAAGTCACATAATATTTCCAAGCATTGTTCAAAAATAAAGCATTTTTGCAACCAATTCTTGCTATGAAACAATATGCACACAAAATGTATTTCTTAAATTCCATAAAGTCCTCCAACATGAGGCAAAATGATAACGTCTAAAAAGCGGCTGTTTGGCCACAACATGGTCATTCAAAGCTCTGTGTGTGTGTGTGTGTGTGTGTGTGTGTCCATTTCAGTTCAAAATACTAAAACATTTAATCACTAAAGCATTAAAAAGAATTTACACTCTATTTATTTTGATCAGCTTACCTCTTCAGAAATAGATATACCCCCAAATGTGCATACATCAGCAGCTATAAACATTACATGGCAGAACACTATATCAGCTTACATGGAAACGTACAAAATGTGGGTGTATTCAAAAACTATTCTGCAGGTACTATCTTTAAAGCAAGACATAAAATCATTATGAAGTCTTGTAAGCATAACACTGTTTCAAACAGAAATAAATATAGAACACTTTCTGGTAAGTTACAGCAGCAAAAAACAAGAGGCATCCTTTTTAAGCAAGAGTTTCATCACTACAGCAGCTGTTCAGACCTGAATTCCTCTCACAGCCTGCTTTATATTTTCCAGTAGGGCTTTATTTTCTGGACTCTGATAACGATCTTGATTTGTATACATTTCCGTCAAAGTAGTCACGTAAGCATCAAAATTTTGTTCATTGATTGGATCCTACGAGATATTAAATAGTAGTTCATATACAACTTTTATTTTCTTAATAGTATATTTACAAAAGCATAAAATAGTATCATAGCATAGTGCCCTTGGTTTTATACTATTTCAAAGGCCGGCTCAGAGCACACTTAAGTTTATGGGGTCAGCCCCGCCCATGTTTCTAGCAGTTAACGGTATGGTTTCGGGGTGGTAACCACAAACATTTGCCAAAGGCTGAAGAACCATGAAAATAACAACAAAAACGGCATCTACTTTAGGCTGTGCGCTGTGAGGACTCCACATTCCTGCCTTGCGCGCTCAGTCACTTACCATGTGCGGCAGCTGGATGTTGGCCAGACTGTGGATCAGAGACTGGCTCAGGTTCGCCAGCTCGTGGAGGAGGGACTCGTTCTGCTGCTCAATCACTTTGTTTTCCTCTTCGATGGTCTTCAGGTTGCTCTCCATCGTGGTAATCTGAAACGCACAAGTGCGTGTGACATGTAACACCAGGAGGACCTAGAAGCCCGTGGCCGTTGCCGGGGGCCACAGCCTACTGGGTGCCAAGAAGGGGCCTCTCGCTGAAGGAGAAAGACTTCGGGCTGGGTGCTGTGGCTCACGCCTGGAATCCCAGCACTTTGGGAGGCCAAGACAGGCAGATCACTTGAGGTCAGGAATTTGAGATCAGCCTGGCCAGCATGGTGAAACCCTGTCTCTACTAAAAATACAAAAATTAGCCGGGCGTGGTGGCGGGCGTCTGTAATCCCAGCTACTTGGGAGACTAAGACATGAGAACAGCTTGAACCAGAGAGGCGGAGGTTGCAGTGAGCTGAGATCACACCATTGCACTCCGGCCTGGGTGACAGAGCAAGATTCCGTCTCACAAAAAAAAAAAAACAAAAACAAAAGAAAGAAAGAAAGAAAGAAAAAGGTTTCAGTGGTGAGCATTGCCGTTTAAGGACCTGCTGGCTTTGGATTCACTGCACTTGACAACTGGGGAAGTGGGACTGTTTCCTTGTGCCATCCTGTTCTCTCAGCTGGCCTGATGGGACTGCAGTGTGTGGGGGCTTAGTGTTTTACTGGCTTGATGCGAACACTTCTCCTTTCTAGCCTGAATCAAATTCTGCCACAGCCAAGTCCTCCAATGCTCATTTCTGTGTGGGGGTGTCACTATCTCTTCAGATGGCACCGGGTTGGCACTGTGCCCACAGGGTGGTCTTCCTGCATTTCTCTAAGGAAAAAGGCCCACCGCGGACCCTTCCTTGCATATTCCAGAGATAATTTAAGTATCATCAAGGTCAAGGTCAGGGCCTCTGCCTATAACGGCACAGGACTAACTTCACACGCAGCAGGCAGGGAGCTGCCCTGTCCGTGGGGGTGTCTGCCTCGGCCACCCAGGGGTGCCTCTGCCGTGCGTGATCTGGGGCTTCTCCCTGGAAGACCGAGCCGACCCGCAGAGTCCAGGGCTGGCCTGGCCTACCCGCTCCTCTCCGCTCCTTCCCCGACGTGTCATTCCCAAGTCCTCTCATGAGAGTCCCTCCTCTCCCTCTTGGTCCTGTCTTCTCCTATGTTCTGGCCCTCCCTTGGCTGTACTGGGTCAAATCCCGGGTTCTCCCACCAGCCTCAGGCACAGACCCTCTGTTAGAAAACTGGTGCCCCTTGGAGATGCCCTCCAGGATGAAGTGGGGAGGGCGGGCCTTCTCCTTGGAAGGAATCGCAGCCCCCACCATTCCTGCAGGGATGGTGCCCTGTGGAGAACCCACTGAAATCACACAGCTTTGTTTCCATGCACGTCCTTGGTGACCTTCTCATTTGTGTTCCTTGGGATTATTTATCAAATTAATGTTCCCCTCCCAGCCGCCCCCTTGCAGGCTCAGGAGTGGATGCCTGCCCTCCCACGACTCCTGGGTGGGCCCCGAAGGGCTGCGTGCCTCGTGCTCGTCTTCCAGAGCGTTCTGTAACCCTTCCTGGGCGGCCACGTGCCTGCACTCATGGCTGGTGGCAGCTGTGGCTGGGACCTCACTAGAGATGATGTCAGTGTAAAGAGACGTGGGTTTTCTATGATGGAATCTAATCTTGGGTGAGGCGCCACTGCCCAGGTCCCGAGGTTGTTAAAGGGCCCACGCAGGGAGAAGGCCAGCAGCAGGATGGGCACCTCCCTGAGCAGACGGCGGCTCCTGCCCTGTGCACCCGGTGGCTTTCCTAGATGGCCACTGCTCCAGGCCCCTCAGCCCCTTGTCTGTGCTCAGGGAACCCTGCAGAGGCCTCCCCATTGCCGGCCCTCAGCGGGCCCTCCTGGATGAGCCCAGCCCAGCTCACCTCTGGTTGAGTGTCTCAGAGGTGCTTCTGGCTATTCCTTCCTATCCTAGCCGGGCAAACTGTGGGCTCTTTTTCTGGAAAATGGGCATAATGCTCCTTGCATTACGAACTCACACTGGCAGGTGCGGTGTGTTTGCAGTGAGAAGACATTTGTTATTCCTGGGGCCTCTGACCTGGTCTTTGGGGCTCAGAGTAAAGGGAAGTCCAGCTGCTCCCCCGGCTTAGCAGAGAAGCAGCCTGTGGGGTGCCCAAGGCAGGGGTAGCACCCTGTCTCGTCGTCCCCAGCAAAATTCATGGGGACACATTTTAGATCCATTCCTCCTTCAACCTATGTTCCCTGCTGGAAAGTCTAGCCCCTTCTGCAGAGGCAGAGACATGTTCCTGTGCTCAGGAATCTCTGCGAGACTCAGGAGTTAGGCTGTTCCTTCCCATGTTACCTGGGTCTGTGGCTGGGGTGGGGGTGGGGGGGCTCCCGTGCTTATAAATGCTTTGATTTTCTCAAAATGGAACAAATCTCATTATGTTGAATCCACTTAGCAGTGGAACAAAATATGCAGTTTGAACAAACATCCCATCAAAGCCCTGGCCAAAATGATCATCTCCTGAACCAGGCTGTGTGGTGAGCCCAGTCCAAGGTCAGAGGGGATGCCTGGAGACCCAAAGCCAGAACTGATGGGTATCTGCCAGGTCTCACAGCCTTACCTCCCTCAAGCACACCCCCCGGCCCCTGAATCTCCTGCATCTCCAGCCCACACACACAGGGCCCCGGGCTTCTCGCACGGGACACGTTTGCTTGCCTGAGGCCTTCCTCCAGGGTGGCAAGAAGCTGTGTCTCAGGGTCACTGTTGCCCGTTCCTTACTATCCTAGCCAGGCAAATTGTGGACTCTTTTTCTGGAAAATGGGAGTAATGCTCCTTGCCCACAACACACACTCACACTGAGATATGAGGCATGTTTGCAGTGAGAAGACATTTGTTATTCCTGGGGCCTCTGACCCAGTCTTAGGGGCCCAGAGTATAGGAGAGCCCTCTCAGAACGTCTTGGAGCTGGCCAGCACGCTGTGGTGTCACGGGAGACAGCGCTGCCGAGCAAGGTGATGCAGGGGCTCCGCCCAGCCCCTCATACGCTAGGCCTCCTCTGAGGATGGGGCTGAGCAGGCTGGGGAGGGCCACAGAGACCGGTGTCTCTCTTCCAAACCCAACCCACAGCAGCCACGGTACATGGTTCCTGGCACTCGGAAGGCGTCCCTGATTACGGGTGCTTACACGGGGAGGGGCCTGTGTTGCAAGTGGGTCTGGGGGCCTGGCTGGGAGCTGGGCCGGCCACCTCTGCCATCGTCAGCGATGTGCACTGGCGAATCTGAGTCTGCATTTCCAGAAACCTCGAGTCGCCTGTGGTAAAGTGGGGAGCCCTCTGACAACGGTGGGTTCTGTTTTTGATTGTTTTAAGAAACACCAAAAGGTTTTCAGGCTGCTAGGAAGCAGTGCAATCCCGGATCTTCCCAAGAAAGTGCCCACGTCAGCAGCAGCCTGATGGCCAGTCTAGGTCCAAACCCGCATTTTTACAGACTTGTCCACACCCTCTGTCCTTCTGGACCTCAGCATTTCTTAGACTGTGCAGCCTCTGACCACACCTGGAGCAGAGAAAGGTCAAATCTAGCCCAGGGCCTGACATTGAAAGCTAAGACTGAGCTAAGAATGGCATTTGCGGTTTTTAGTGGTAAGAAAAAAACAAAAGAATAACAGCATTTTGTGACACAGAAGAGCTATTAAGTTCCAACTGTAGAACCATGTGACGCTGTGTTGAAACAGGGTCACACTCACACGTGTTGTGAGGCTGTCACACTGCAACACAACTGTGTGGCCCAGAAGCCTAAAATATTTGCCATCTGGTCCTTTATAGAAAATGTTTGCCAATACCTGGTCTGGACTAAGTACCTGGATGGCGTGATGTGTTTAGAAAACATTTCCGGAAGAAGAGTAAAATGGGTGGGAGTCGCAAGGCGTTAGCAGTGGGGCGGTGGAAGGGCGTAACCCCAAGGAAAGTGTCCTCGTGCAGGGAGGACCGGCTCCTGCCCATGGCGGTGCTGACCAGGGAGGCTGGACCACAGAGAGGCTTAGCCCCAGGGAGAACAGCCATCATCTGAAAGTGGTGCAGGCTGCGGGATTAACTGAGCTGCCAACCTTAGAAGAAGTCAAGCTTCACAGGGCTGTTCACGCTGGTCCATCTGGGCCCTCGCACCAGGAGCTGGGGGGTTTCTTGTGAGAATAGCCTGGCCTGAAAACACAAGCTCCCTTTTATACTCAAATACCCCCACCCCCACCTCCCTGACAAATGCCTGCACTGTTTGAGCCACAGGGGACAACATCCCAGCCTCCCAGCCAGCTCCGAGCCATCCTCCTCCTGCTCCTGCTGTTTGCTGTGCCGGGAGTGCTCCTTTCCCTTCTCCACCTCCCGTGTCTGCAGGACTCCCACCATCTCTCCTCGGTCTCCTTGCTCCAGTCCCCCATGGTGGGGTCTCGAACTCAGGCCCTCAGCACTCACGTAGTTCACACAAACGCCGCTTGCCCGGGCCGCGCCCAGCACTTGAGTCCCCTGCTCTCTCTTCCTCAGTGGCAGTCTTCTTTTCTTCCGGATTCTGGTAACAAGCAACTTCTGGGCGTCCCCTGGGGCCGAGGACCAGCTTTTCTGCTCTCTGCTCCGGGGTCTGGTATGAACTGAGTTGAATCGGATGAGATGTGTCTGGGGAATCTTGGAGTCCAGAACCAAGGCGTGGGTGTGCCCGGCCCCCGAAGCTGAGGCCACACTGAATCCAGTTGAATGGAGTTGGGGAAACAGCAGATCCCACAGACACCTCGGCCGTTCTGCTGGTGCTGGGCCACCCCGGGAGGAAGCCTGACCGGGTTCACGCCATTCTCCCGCCTCAGCCTTCCGAGCAGCTGGGACTACAGGCGCCGCCACCTCGCCCAACTAATTTTTTTTTTTTTGTATTTTCGTAGAGACGGGGTTTCACTGTGTTAGCCAGGATGGTCTCGATCTCCTGACCTCGTGATCCGCCCGCCTCGGCCTCCCGAAGCGCTGGGATTACAGGCGGGAGCCGCCGCGCCCGGCCGGTGTCGGGACTTGTGACTGCGTTTGTGTGGGGTGAGGTCCTGAGACCCACTCTTCAAGCTGCCAAGCGTAAGAACGGACTTTTCAGCCACATAGGAATTGTATTTGGTCGCACTAATTGGACCCCAAATAGTGTTTAAACACATTCCAAATTGGAAAACTCATCTTCTCAATGAAATAAAATTGCGTTTGTCCTAATTTGAATTCTTACAACTGAACAGTGAAAAAAACCTTTCCAACTTCTAGTAAGAGCACTCCTGGGCTTCAGACGTCACAAAACCCCTTCCGCAGAGGGTGGCAGGGGCGGCCTCCCCCTTATCCGGCCCAGGCGCGGGGGTCTCCCCCTTATCCGGCCCAGGCGCGGGGGTCTCCGCCTTATCCGGCCCAGGCGCGGGGGTCTCCTTCCATCTGGCACCGGCGCGGGGGTCTCTCCCTTATCCGGCACAGGCGCGGGGGTCTCCGCCTTATCCGGCCCAGGCGCGGGGGTCTCCCCCGTATCCGGCACAGGCGCGGGGGTCTCCCCTTATCCGGCACAGGCGCGGGGGTCTCCCCTTATCCGGCACAGGCGCGGGGGTCTCTCCCTTATCCGGCACAGGCGCGGGGGTCTCCCCCGTATCCGGCACAGGCGCTGCGGTCTCCCCACCATGGGGCACAGGACAGGTGTGGCGGTTTCTGCAGCATCCGGCACAGGCGCGGGGGTCTCCCCCGTCCGGCACAGGCGTGAAATTTAAAGGTTTGGACAGAGTCTCCTTTCTCCTTCTCTTGGATCTGTTCTTCACCAGATTAAAATCTAGACCCCTCCCTGTGCAGGACCCTCATCACCGGGCTGCCGGCCTGAGCACTGGCTCTACCGTTCTTCCCTCTGTCCCCATTGCAGAGAGAACATCGGGCCGTGGCATCCACTTCTCATCTATCTCATGGCTTGGGCTTGGGACAGGCCTGCAGCCCTGTGTCATCTCTGGCATGGGCTCTGTGCACAGGCCTGCATCCCCGTGTCAGTGTGTCTTGAACATGTCATGGGGCAGTGGGAGAAGTCTGCCTTTCTCTTGGGTCAGAGTGGACAAGAAAACACGGGATCTGGGCCTGTTCCCCTTCCTGGCCATGCTCCCTGAGGGTGTGAGGGCCTGAGAGGCACGGGAAAGTCCGGACCTTCTAAAGGAAAATGCAAAGGGCGTGAAGGCTGCTGCAGGGAGGCCAAGGCCGTCAGGCAGGGCCGCTGTATGCCCTGGAGAGCTGGCCTGCCCCATGTTCCTCCTCCATACTCCCCGGGCAGTGGCCGAGGCACAGACAGCAAGGAGGGCTCCTGGCTGTGGGCGCACATTGTTTTCTGGTTAAGTTTTGCTCCAGGTCTAACCCGTTTAAGGAGTATCAGGCTCTAAGCTGCCTGTGTCAGCAGCTGCCTGTCTCTGAGCTCAGGCCTGGTGCTCACAAAACAACTTGTGGACTGGAGCTCATCATCCGACGCTGAGAGCTGCAGAGCTGGGGGACTCTGGCTCAGCACGTTCCCGTCTCTTCTAGAATAGAGGAAGGTCCATCCCTGGGCACATCTGGGAAGTCACCTCTCTCATCAGCCGAGTCAGTGAGAATACATGTGAACTCTACACATTCATTTTTGACATTAGGTCCAAATACATGCTGTTAGGAGCAACTACTCATCTCAGAGATAAAGAAAGGCACAAAGGAACCAGTGAGAAGGGACACAAACCTGAGTGCTTCCTGAGGGGGAGGCCACGCCCGTGCAGGTGCAGAGAGTGCTCTAAGCAGCCTGCGTAGGCACATGCGTTGTTTCCTAGGGCTCAGACCCAGGCGGCATGACCTCCAAGCCTACTCAGCCCTCGGCTGAGCCCCAGCCCCAGTGCTTCATCCACAGCTGGCGTCAGAGCTGCCGTCCGTCCCTCATGGACGGCCACGGAGCAGCAGGCCTTCACTGCGGAGGGAGGGGTTTTGGAAAGTGGGAAGAACCCGCTTCCTGAAGGGCATCCTGTTGGAATTGGGTTGCCCCAGTAGACCATGGACTCAACACCCTGGACAGACAAGGACATTCTGCCTCATCAGCGAGTGCCCCGAAAGGTGCCATTCAAAGGAGGAAATAAATTAAGATTTTCGGCTTGTCGCCCTCATAAACAGAATACAACTGTGAGTCCATTAAACCCACTTCCTTTGTAAACTACCCAGTCTCAGGTTATTTATTAGCAGTGTGAGAACGGAGTAATACTCAAGGGTGAATTGATCTGTCCAAGTTAAACAATCTTTGCTGACTAGGTCACCTCCTACTCTCTCCCAGAACCAGCAGCTCGTGGGTGCTCCGGGAGCTATGGAGTCTCCTATACAGTCCAAGATGCCGCCTCCATGGCCTCGGCTGGTCCCGGGGCTGAGAAATGCCACAGGCTGTTACTCTATTCCCCAAGCCCGACATTCAGGTAAGTCTTAAGGGAAATTCCAACCTGTGTTGGGTGAGCCCCAGCCAGGCCAATGTAAGATTCTAGGAAGGCCTGAACACAGCCCCTGGGGCTACCAGGTTGGTCAGATCAAGGCAGTGATGCCCTCTGGGGAAATAGGTTGGCATCAAAATGCCCAGGCAGCAGCCACATGGCCTTGTGGGGAGTTCCCGCCCTTGGCCTCATCGTTGGTACCCACAGGGGGGCCTGGAAATCCCTTTCGGTTGCTTGGTGGGGCCCCAGCCCCAGAGGATGTCTCCATCCTTGGGAAAGCTGTGTCCAGTGGGTGGAAACCACCTGTTGAGCAGAACAGAGCCATTGACCACACCTCGCTGACCACGGGAAAGGCCCTCAACCTTCCCCAGCCTCAGCCTCTTCATTTACGGAGGGGGGATAATAAGGGAGCCCCTCAGAGTTTGTTAGGAGGACAGCATCATCACGTAGGTGGCCGGTGGTATCACCATCCTCATTTCCATCCAGTCCTCGGGCTCATTCCCAGCAAACTGAGTAACCTTCCTGGAGGCTGGTCAGCATCCTCTGAGAACCTCATCACACCACGGCCTGCCGGGGAGGGGCCGGAATGGAGACCTCATTTCTAAGAAGACAGGACACCTTGGCTCACCCTGTGGGCAATGTGAGGGTCGGTGGTCAGCAAATAAACTCCACTCCCAGAGTGTACTTAGGCGACTGGGACCCTAATGCAGCAAGGTGGGGATGCCAGGCACAAGGCTCACGGTCAGACAGGGTCCAGCCTGGCCTCTGTGGCCTCGGCTTGGCTGAGGAAGCTGCCTCTCTGTCTTAGAAGCTGTATGTTTAAGATGAGGCTGAGGATGTTTATCCTGTGGGCTGCTTGTGGGCACGGAGGGGGTTAGGTGACCACAGCTGCTCTGCCAGCTGCCACTGCTCTCTCTTCCCAACCCCAGGCTCTGCAGCCGCAAGTCACTGGGGCTGCCTCCCCAAACCCCAGACACCCAGGAGTCCTATGTGGCAGGCACTCCTTGTTTTAAATTCTGGGAACCTCGGCTGTCGCTATCCATTTAATATAGTGATTAAATAACACAAGGACCAGAAGTATCTTGGAAGGAAAACCCTCATTGTTTGCAGGAACAGGTGATCCTCTGAAAATGCCTATTCACAAATGCACTTTATTAAAAAACACAGACACAGGTGCAGACTGAAAACGAGAGAACCATGGCCCCTGCTCCAGCGAACACGGCCATGGAATGGTGTCCGTGGAAGATCAACATCATAAGGTGGAAAAATAAAGGAAGTAAAAGAGCAAAGAAAGCGGAAACGACAGCTCTCCTAAAAGCCGATTTCATGCCATGTATCTCTGGTATAATAGCATGTGTTAGAGCTAAAATTGAGGGCTTCAAAAACTGTTACCTGAGTTCTGAGTTTAATCATATCGGCTTCCATCTGGGAATTGGATTCATTTAGCTCCTTGATTTCTTCATCTAACTGTTTGATTTCTTCATCATTTTCTATACCTGTAATAATGAATATTAGTATGTTAAAACTATTATATACAAAAATATTAGAGTTAAAATTTTGGGAGTTTTCTTTGTTCCTTTTACATTTGTAATTGAATTTGCTTGGAAAATAGACTCTTGAATTAGAAAGGAAAAAATCATCACAATCTTGAGTCTTTCTATTCCCTACCACTGCCCCTTCCCCAGCTAAGTCCCCCCACAAAAACAATCGAGACACACAGGAGACTCCCGGGCACTCTGAGGGTCGAGCTCCCAGGGACAGTTAACCTGGGTCTTACATATACCCCTGGGACACGAGGCACAAACCACCTGGTCCTGGGTGCTGATTTGCTGAGCCTGGCCTCTTTTCTCCTGCTTTTGTTCTCTCTCCCAACTCGCTCTCTGCATCAGACATTCTGCAAACACCCGAGGCTTGGGGCCAGGCTCTGCAGGCACATTCACTGACAAGGCCAGGCCCTCCCTGCCTTCACTTAGCTTAGGCTCTGGGTCAGAAAATGGGCAACAGACATGTAACCACAAATGCAGTCCAGCAAATGCTGAGGATGACCTCACCTCATCCAGCAACAGGAAGCTGTGGGAAGTGGGAGAGGGACATGGGGACTGGCTGGAGGGAGACGGCCACAAAAGGGCTCTCTGAATATTCGACATTTAGCGAATAAAAAAATCTCATTCTGAATGATTAAAAAAAATGTATTAACTAACAAAATTCCCAATTTGTAAACTCTGCCAGAATGACGACCTCAGCCAGGTGTGTACCTGACCATCTGAGTGTCCCTGATGGGTGACAGCTGCCCTGCTGAGGTCCACGGGGCACATGGATCAGTCCTGGCATAGCTGGGCACAGGGCCCAGATGCCCGTATTTACAAAGGACATTCTGGACATCTGCTTCCCTGACCGGCTGTGTCTGGTTACTGGCAACGTTACACTGCCAACGCCAAAGAGATGGAGATTCCTTTCTATTTGTGACCGCTTGACCTCACACAATTGGGTGTACACAGCAGGAGAGCAGGAGTTTGGCAAACGCAATCACCCTAGAAAACTCAGGATTTGAGATTGCTGTTCTCATTGGTCCTACAGCACCACAATGGATCTTTACTCAAAACTAATGGAAATGTATCCAGGCCTAGGAGGCTCCCAGTGGGTAGATGCTGTTTTCAAGCTTTGCAGACAGAAGGGAAGAAGGGGTGCAGTCAACCAGAGTCTGAGGCCTGAAAGCACCCCAAACCCCTGCTGACATCAGCAGGACAGAGGTGGAGGCTCCTCTCTACCGAGACATCAGAAAGATGAGAGTAAGAGAAAGTGACGATCAGTCGGATTGGGCCTTAGATGCTGCTTTTAGTGAAATGAAAAAAAAAAAAAATATACCCCCAAGATAAAAATACCCAATGCAAAAAAATCCCAATTCTTAAAGCAACTAAATTATGAATGAATGTATCATTTAAGAAGCATTCCCCACAAGCTTCTGTTAAACTGCAAGCATCCAAATGCCTTTAGAACCCCTCCGTGTGAAGGAGGCCCTCAGAACACTGGACCTGGTGACGCTTCCACCCTCTACAGCCGTCACGGGCAAATTTCTCAAGCACGTTCCTAGGAACTGCATCTTGCAGAGGCCTTTCAATATGTTTCTATCAAAAACCTTGGACCGGGGTGTTTAGTTTCAAGAATTTATGAGAAGTGTCAAACTAACTGGCCTATCAGGCTTGGTTATCTAATTGATCTGCCAGATCAGGTCAACTGTTCTGACAGAAGTCAGTGTCATTTTAAATCCAAACAAAAGTCTTGACATGGGTCCCATGACAACCTTTCATCTCTAATTTTGTTCTGGGAGTGATGGATGGGTGGATATTACTTCCATAGCTCTGCTCTGTCTTGGGGGACCACCCTCAGGCCCAAGTGGTCACCACCAGCCCTTTGTGGGAGCCTGGGAACGTCTCAGTCCTGCGGCTGCCCACTGTGGCTCCACACAGCATGCCATTCCTTTGTGAGGGGGAGGAGGGAGACGGGGAAACGGTGCCAGGAAGAACCGGCAGGTCACAGAGGCTTTCCCGGCCCGTAAGATTCTGGAGGATGAGGGAATGTGGAAGAGGAGGGCCTGCAAACTAATTCTGCAGAGCTGTCCACAGCCACATCCCTGGGACAGCCTACGAGCCCCCAGGCACGTGTGAAGTCCCCTCAGGGAGAGGAGAGCTCCGGGTTGGGTGGGAATTTCCCTTTCCCCTGCAGCAGGGCAGTGACTGGCCCAGGAAGCAGTCCCTGGGGTTGCTGGGGCCTCTGAGCTGAGCCTCACCTTGTGGATGGTTAGGCTGAAACTAGAATTTTGTTGTTGTTGTTGTTGTTTGTTTGTTTTGAGATGGAGTTTGCTCTTGTTACCCAGGCTGGAGTGCAATGGCGTGACCTCGGCCTCCACCTCTTGGATTCAAGCGATTCTCCTGTCTCAGCCTCCTGAGTAGCTGGGATTACAGGCGCCTGCCACTACACCTGGCTAATTTTTGGTATTTTTAGTAGAGATGGGGTTTCACCATGTTGGCCAGGCTGGTCTCGAACTCCTGACCTCAGGTGATCTGCCTGCCTTAGCCTCCCAAAGTGCTGGGATTACAGGCGTGAGCCACTGTGCCCAGCCACAAACAGGGTTTTATAATATATTCCACCAGTTGGCCTGTAAGCCCTCAGGAAGAAACTGCTTTTGTAAAAAACTGGCCCGAGCAGGGAGGGCCCCAGCTGAAAAGCAGCATCTCAGAGCCAGAAAATCTACCCATTGGACACCAAACCAAACAAGCAAAAAAATCCTACTCAAATTAGCATAGCGTGGTCCTGGAAGATTGTGATTTATTTCAGGATCCTGGTAACGCTTGAGAGACCAGCGTCCCATGGTGAACCCGGCCAGCACTGGTCACTCTCACTAATGGCTTGGTGGAATTTCCAAGCCTGTTGGAATTTCGTTCTCCTTACAGCTGAAGTAGAAATGTGAGTTCCCACACTTTGGAGCTCTCAGGAATATTAAGCGAACTAAGTAGATGAAGTTCCTAACAAAGTGCTTCATGTTTTCGGGGCTCGATGGAGGTTAGAGCTCCTTTCCCTAGCTTGCTTTCTGCTGTGATAGTAAAAGGAAAGAAAAAGCATTATCTTATTTCCTTCTCTCCTAAACACTGCCCCTGCCCCCACTACCCCCCCAAAAGCCACTGATTGTACAACTTCAGCCAAGGTGCCAAGGCGCTAAGAGGCGTACGGCGAACTGCAAAAGGGTTCTGAAGGGAGACTCACTAACAGGGTCACCCCGGCTGCTCAGGCAGAGCTGAGTGCTAATGCGTGATGCGATCACTCCACGGATAAAGAAAATAAGGTGATCCTTGTCGGGGAGAGACATGAGAGTAGGCTCGTCCCTAAACTTAAAAAAGAAAGAAAGAAAAATACTTTAGAGCCAGAAGGGAACCTCAGGGACATCTGGAACAGCTGCTTCCCTGTCAGACAAATGCTCAAGAGAAAGAACTAAAATCCGGTGCCAGGGGCCTCCCTGGCCGAGTCAGTGCCTCACGGTGGGTCCCGGTGGCTTCTCTGTCCCGCACAGTATCTGGGCCTCACACGCAAGGAAGCTGCTGAGCATCTTGTGAGAAAATGACCCCAGGAAAGGCTTTACACTCAGGATATGAAAGAAAAGAAGGCCGGGCGTGGTGGCTCACGCCTGTAATCCCAGCACTTTGGGAGGCTGAGGTGGGCAGATTGCTTGAGCTCAGGAGGTCAAGAGCAACCTAGTGGGCAACATAGTGAGATCTCGTCCCTATTAAAATATTTAAGGCCAGGCACGGTGGCTCACGCCTGTAATCCTAGCACTTTGAGAGGCGGAGGCAGGTAGATTGCTTGAACTCAGGAGTTTGAGAGCAGCCTGGGCAACATGGCGAAGCCCCATCTCTACCAAAAACACAAAAATGATCTGGGTGTGGTGGTGCACAGCTGTAGTCCCAGCTACTCGGGAGGCTGAGGTGGGAGGATCGCTTGACCCTGGGAGGTGGAGACTGCAGTAAGCCAAGATCGTGCTGCTGCTCTCCAGCCTGGGTGACAGAGTGAGATCCCGTCCAAAAAAAGAAAGAGAGGGATTGTCTTTTCCACATCTGTGGCAAAGGCAACAGGAACACAGAGCTTCGGATGCGAAGAATGGTACCATGGCAGCAGAAATTGGATGCTGTGCCTCTGTCCTCTGAAGAGCAGCAGGAAAGATCCCCTTTCCTGGATTAGCTACACAGACACGGAAATGATACCTGGGCACACAACTGTGCTCTGGGGGTCAGTAAGAACTCTCTCGGTTGGGAGGCTGAGACGGGCGGATCACGAGGTCAGGAGATCGAGACCATCCTGGCTAACACGGTGAAACCCCGTCTCTACTAAAAAATACAAAAAACTAGCCAGGCGAGGTGGCGGGCGCCTGTAGTCCCAGCTACTCGGGAGGCTGAGGCAGGAGAATGGCGTGAACCCGGGAGGCGGAGCTTGCAGTGAGCTGAGATCCAGCCACTGCACTCCAGCCTGGGCGACAGAGCGAGACTCCGTCTCAAAAAAAAAAAAAAAAGAACTCTCTCAGTTTGGTGCAAACAGTGTCAGGAATCAACAGCCCCAGGCGTCAGCACCCACCTGGACTTAGGAAGACCTGGGTGGGACCCACTTCCACCACCTGTTCTCCCAGTGACCTGCAGCTCCTCTTTTTCACCCGTGGACGTGCGTGCGTTAGGATCCGCAGAAGGGGAACTGTTTCTGTCCTGAAACTTAGCACGACACGAACTGTGTGTCCAGCAGCTCGGGTGAAATGCAGCGACCTGGCTGAAGGCTGGCCAGCAGCAGGAGCTGGGCCCAGCGGGTGGCCGGTGACCCTGGAGTGCCCGTGCCCTGGCTGCTTTCTGGCGGGATGAAGTCAGTTGTTGGTTCCTCTAGTTTAGAGTCACAGACCAACTGCTTATCTTCATCCCTCCGAGTTAGCACCTGTTTTTGTGAATTAACTCCTTGTGTGCGGCAGTAATGGGAATGTCTAGTGCCCTTAATGCCGACTTAGGCCCGACAACGAAGAGACGGCCACCTCCGGGATCTGCCCACCGCTGCCCAGGTGGACCAGGCCAGGTGTGAATGGCTCCTCCTCTAGGGTCGGCAGATCTGTTCTCTCCATGTTTTCTTTCCTTTTCTGTTTTGAACTGGACTCCTAACCTAACCGCCGCATCCTTCCTTAATGGGGAACAAAGGCACATGGACTCAGATCAATTGTCTAAGGATTTCCGCGTTAATCCAGGGTTATGCAGGGGTGAAATGCCCTCTAAGTATTTTGAAAAGCGCCTGGCATGTGGATGGAGCTCAGGGAATGTTTTCTTTCTGGCAAGGAACACTGCTCCGTACTAACTGGGGAGCGAACGTTGGCTATCCTGGTATCTCAAAAGCAGGGTCCTTACACCGGCTGCTTGGGACTGCACCCGCAGGGAGAGGTTGTGCGGGTGGGTCAGGGTATCTGGAAGGCAGAAACTGACAGGACCAGCCTGGGAGGCAAGATGCCTCCAGGAGCCCCAGACTCTGAGGACCAATATCAGGAAGCTGACGACCTTTCTGGTGAACAATGGGCCACGTGTTGAGGAATAGTTTGTGCTGGCTGCTGGCACAGGGAATCCTGCAGGCACACACGTGGGACATGCAGGCATCTCTCATGCTGTCCTCAGGACCACCAATAACAATCAGATGAGAGGAGACCCCCATGGCTGTGGCCAGGGGCTTCGTGCCTGCATGCTTGGGAGCTACTCAGGTGTGGTTCACTCGGTGGATTTGGGGAGGAGGTGCCCTTTGGTAAACGTACAGCAGGAGGGTCCCAGGTTCTGCCCAGGGTCAGCTTTACAGGATGGATCTGTGCATCACAGGTCTGAGAGCCTTCAGCCCAGGGCATCCTGTGCTTTGTGGTGCTTGAAGAGCTTTGCAGGCTCCTTTTAGAAATACAAAATTAGGGGTGCATCTTGCAAGTGAGAGCTGAGAAGGGGAGGCTGGGCTTCTGCTGTGAAGGGGACCAGTCTGCTCAATGGCTACAGGTTACAGCTGATCTCATTATTCCCAGGGGCCATGCGCTGTAAAGTTACCTGCACACAGGCTGAGAGCAGGATCACTGCTTCTGGAAACAAGGGGCCAAGCTCCTGCCAGCCTCTGGTCCCATTTTTGTCAGTTGAAAAATAAAAAAACCCTGTTAATATTGTTTGGCTGTGCCCCCACCCAAATCTCATCTTGAATTATAGTTCCCATAACCTCCACATGTCTTGGGAGGGACCTGGTGGGAGGTAATTGAATCATGGGGGTGGCTACCTCCATGCCGTTCCTGATACTGAGTTCTCACGAGATCTGGAGGTTTTATTAGGGGCTTTTCCCACTTCTCTCTGAACTTCTTTCTCCTGCCGCCTTGTGAAGAAGGACATGTTTGCTTCCCTTTGCGCCATGATCGTAGGTTTCCTGAGACCTCCCCAGCCATGTGGAGCTCTGAGTCGATTAATCCTCTTTCCTTTATAAATTACCCAGTCTCGGGTATTTCTTCATAGCAGTATGAGAATGGACTAATACACCTGTTTTATGTGTGCTCCAATTTGAAGACAACTTATTTAATAGACACTGTGGATTCCTTAACATTGAACTCAGAGCCAACAGTCAAAACCATGACTCCTGTCCGAAGGGAGCCTGGCTAACGTGTGTGTTTTCTCTGTGAGGCACATCACAGCCCCCTGCACTTAGGAACACCAGACACTTCAGCTGCTCTGTGAATGCACAGGAGTAACTACAAAAGCACTGAGATCACTGCCTGTGTCTACAAATTAATTTTAGCAGGGAGGTGAACTCGCAAATAGAGTCCTCAGGTCCTGAGAGTGGACTGTGCATGTTTCTAAGGGTTTAAGTGGCTCTCCTCTCTCCTGCTCCTCCAGAGGCCCCCAATTTTCCTCTGCAGAACTCTCTACACACCTGTGCCAGTTGGTGACAAGAGACACCCTCAGAACAAAACAGATTTGCAGGTGGAATCAAGAAAATCAGGCACTAGACATGCGGAGAGTGAGGGCAACAGGGGAGGGGGTGCCATCCTTGTTATTTGTGGCCTGGGGGGCCCCAAAGCTGCTCCTGGGTGGAGAAACTGCAGATGAGGGCCTGAGGGACAGAGGCAGAAATGTGGGCACACTGGGGTTCCAGGGAGCAAATCGACCAGTGCTGGAGAGACCCTCAGGATTTGGGCTTGTGATTCCGGCGAGTAGTGAAGTTGGTGAAGGGGGGAGACGGTTTTGAGAAAGGCTGCTTTTTTTCTCAAGATGCTTAGCTTTATAGATGAGAGGGCCAGAATTATCCCTGCCCCTGCTTTCTACGAAAAGTGAGCTGTAACTGTTAAAGGACACAGAGCTGGCGTGGCCGTGCCCGCTGGGCCTTCCTGACCACGTGTGCCACGAGGGCTGGGGGGTGCTCACCGTTGCTGGCCCGCTGTTTGATGGTCAGCATCTGCTCTCCAGAAAGCTTTGCCTTCTTCATCGCTGACGTGGCTCTCGGGCATCCTGACAGGCTGTGGACAAGACACAGGACGGCCATTAGTCAACTGTCTAGTGTCCCAGCCCCGCAGGGAAGCAGTGGTAAGCAAGCGGTAGACTAGCATTATTTTACTAGGTTGGTTGCCAGCAAAAGGCTGTCTGACAATGAGAAAAAGCCAAAAGACCAATACGTACAGTATGACAGTTATGCACACGGGATGCATGTGTGTGTGCATGTGTGTGTCCGTGTACTCATGCATGTGGTGAGCGCTGGTCATGGGCGCTCGGCTGGAGCTGCCTCTCAGGGGGGATCTTGGGAGCTGGGGCTCTGAGAGCGGAGGAAGTTTGCCCTTCATTGTATAACTTTCAGAGCTTTTTGAAACTTTTATAGAGTGATAATGTTGCTTAAAAATCTTCTATATTATAGAAAGCATCAAGCTTATAGAAAGGTTGGGTTTAAAAGTTAATTTCAAATGTACAAAAGTAGAGAGAGCAGAATAATGAACTCACCCCAAACTCAGCTGTCTCTCAAGGCTAGTCACCTGCGCCCCTCCTGCTTCCCCAGTCTCATGGGTGAAAACATAACCGCAATCTCCTTATCTCACCCACAGTTTTTAGACAGTTTTCTAATATCACCAGCTATTCAGTCTGTTTTCAAACTTCCCGGTGTCTCTTCACTTTTCTCAGCCACTGGTTTGTCGACGTCAGGATGCATCTCAGCTCTTCACAGCGCATGTGGCAGACGTGGCCGGTGGCCTCCGGGGCAGGAAGGCGCCTCTGCCTCCTTTTCTGTCCTGTTGGGTGTTTGCTGAAGATGGCATGTCCTGTGTGCAGAGCGTCTCTTCCATGCAGTCCTGTGCCTCGGCTTCCTCACAACTCCTCAGCCTCTGAGGGGCCTTCCCTCCCTCCCAGGAGCTCCTGGACATGCGGGTCAACCAGAGTCCTCACTGTGCTATAGGCCAGGGGCCATCTGGCACTTAACTATGGGTGAGGTGAAAAACTTCTGTATATAATGTGTGTGTGTGTGTGTGTGTGTGTGTTTTTTTTTTTGAGACAGAGTCTTGCTCTGTCACCCAGGCTGGAGTTCAGTGGCACGACGTTGGAGCTGCAGCCTCCGCCTCCTGGGTTCCAGTGATTCTCCTGCCTCACCCTCCTGATTACAGGATTATGGCCTCTGGGATTACAGGTGTGTGCCACCACGCCTGGCTAATTTTTGTATTTTTAGTAGAGACAGGGTTTCACCATATTGGCCAGGCTGGTCTTCAATTCCTGACCTCAGGTGATCCACCCACCTCGGCCTCCCAAAGTGCTAGGATTACAGGCATGAGCCACCGCACCTGGCTTATAATGTTTTATATATGTATATGACATACATGTTTATTCTCTCTATATATAATATTGTATTCCACCTGTATATTAAGTGTTAGGCGGACCCCGTCCATAAGCGGTGTGATGGCCAGCAAAATAAGGTGGAGTTTGGCTGGGGGAGTCAGAGGAGCGCGCGCCCGACTCCGGGGAAACCATCTCCCTTCGGCTCCCCCATCTGCTGAGAGCAGATATGTGTTAGGGATATACCTAGAAACACTCTACTAGCGCAGGCAGATTACATAATTATTAGAAAGATCTCTTTAATATCTGCACTAATATAATTAAGCTTTCTAGATATTGTTTTTGTAATACATGTTTAAAAATTTTTTTTGAAGAAAACGGGAAAATTCATAGCAGAACTTGATCGTAATACGTTTTCAACTGGGGATATTAGTGGTTGTTTTTGGGGAAATCCTATCTCAGTATAAAAATTTTTTTTTTTGATGTGATGTTTGCATCTCATAACAGAATATTCATAAAATTCTAAATAATCATTGCTGTTGCCTGACCGTGTCCCCTGAAAATGCGTGCACTGAAATCCTGACCCTCACCAGGACGGTGTGAGGGGGAGGGGCATGTGGGAAGTGAGGAGGCCTCGTGATGGGATCCGTGCCCCTATAACAGGGACCCAGAGAGCTCCTTCACCCCTTCTCCCGTGTGAGGACAGAGTGAGAAGGCGCTGTCTACCAACCACAGTGCAGCCCTGGCCTGACGCCGAATCTGCTGGTGCCTTGGTCTCGGACTTCCAGTCTCCAGAACTTGGAGGAATAAGTTTCTGGTTTCTACGCTGCCCGAGGTATGGTATTTGTTTTTGTAGCCCTAGAACGTCTAAGACAATCACCAGTATTTGTTGCTCATCCCAGAACTCTGTGGTTGTGAACGGCTGTGTTTGCTGATGATGTTCCTAGGTTCAGTGGGAGAAGGAGCAGCGGGGACTTTAACCCCGGCGTCATCAGCTCCAGCATCATCAGCTCCCGCGTCCTCTCCCATCCCAGGGCAAGCCCCACGGGAAGCCCCAGGAGCAGAGAGGCCTCTGGGAGCCGGGTGGCGTGACGGGGTGGGCACGGTGGGCGCCCTGGCTTCTCCTGCTCGCCCTGACTGCATCCCCAGGAATCTCGATAGTCCCTGAGGGGGTCCTGGCTCATGGTTCCCTTTGCTGTTTTTTTGTTCATTTATTCGTTACTAGACGTTGGCACTGCTGCTTCTGATGGAGCCTCTCACCCTGCCTGCTGCTGTTTACACCGGAAATCCCCGTGCTCCTCAAGCTCTCTGTAGTGTGGGGTGTGAACCAACCCCTCACGTTCCAGAGGGAACAGGCTCCTTTTCAGGCCTCCCTGATGGGGCCTGGGCAACAACCTGGCAGCCGCTCCCACTCTGGGGCACCCTCCTGGGTCTTCTCCTGCCTCCCCATCAGATCCCAGCAGGATGCCCTGCAAATCCGGCTGGGGTGGGGGCTGACACTTCTGCTTCCCTAGCTCATCCGTAAATCTGCTTCTGACGACGAGCTGGATGTTTTCATTTGTAAAAATAAGAAGTTCTCAAAAGATCTGTTAAGGCTCTCCTCAAATAGGATGCTTGGATTTTAACGCCACTTTTCCCTTTCCCGCCACTGGACACACTGCGGTTGTCGCACACGTCTTCCTGCAGGGGTGCCTGCGCTTTGGCCCCCTCCATCCAGGTAGACTCTGCAGTCAGGTGACCACATCTGGCAAGTCCTTCGTAAGACCAGGAGGCCCATCGGACCTCACACCGCACCCCCTGATGCTCTAGCGCACATAAGACGTGGAGCTGGCTAGGAAAGACTCATGCATTCCTGTTTGCTCACTTGTGAAATGAGAATAAAATATTGAATTGACTGTGTTTGTGAAGTTTAATGAAAAGAATGTGTACTCTTGAGGGCAAGGATTAAAATGCAATTTTTGTTAAAATCCCCAAGATGGGAGAGTGCTGGAGACAGAGCAGGTGCCTAGTGACGATTTCTGAAAGCATAAAATGTCTGAATGCATTTTGTGATGGCTCAGCGAGTGGAGGCCCAGGGTGAGTGTGAGTGCACCCAGGCCCTGGAAGGTGTAGGCGGAGTCCCGGAAGAGGCCTGTGGCACGATTTTGCAGGACTTCCAAGTTGAAAGAAGACTCTTGGCCGGGCGCAGTGGCTCATGCTTGTAATCCCAGCACTTTGGGAGGCCGAGGTCGGGGGATCACGAGGTCAGGAGTTTGAGACCAGCCTGACGAACATGGTGAAACCCTATCTCTACTAAAAATACAAAAATTAGCTGGGCATGGTGGCGGGCGCCTGTAATCCCAGCTGCTTGGGAGTCTGAGGCAGGAGAATCTCTTGAACCCGGAAGGTAGAGGTTGCAGTGAGCCGAGATTGCACCACTGCACTCCAGCCTGGGCGACAGAGCAAGGCTCTGTCTCAGAAAAAAAAAAAAAGAAAAAAAGATGACTCTTGAGTGCGACTGCCGCCCTGGGCTAAGATGAGAGGAAGGCTGGGGGGAGGGCCTCCTGCAGAGGTCCTGAGACTGTGACTGTAGGACGAGGATGACGTCTGGTCGGTCCACGGTGCCTGTGGCCCAGCCCCGCTCAGTGTGACCCTCAGAAATGCAGGGAGCAGCTCCCATCTTCCGTCCTCTGAACCTCCCCAGCCCTTTCGACTTGCCCTGTGTCTGTGAATGGCATTTAGGGGCCAGGAGCTGCAGGTCGGGAGAGAGGGAGGGCCACAGAGGCCTGCATCCTCCCCCTGCCATCCTCTCAGCGAGCAGCCTCTGCTGTTTGCCCTGAAACCCCTCCCTTCTCTTCATCACTTCAGTCCACGTCTGTGCTTCTCCCTCTGCGGGGTCCCTGGGCCTCAGCCTAGGTCCCAACCGTTCCATCCCGGAGCTGAGAAACGGCCCCAAGGGGTCAGCTGTGATTGTCCCCGCCCCCAGGAGAGCTTCCAGCAGCTTCTCTGAGAGCAGCCGCCAATGCTGGAACATCTCCTAGGGCAGGGGTCCCCAAACCCTGGGCCGCAGCCTGTTAGAACCGGGCCGCACAGCGGGGGTGAGCAGTGCCCGAGCTCTGCCTCCCGTCAGGTCAGCGGCGGGATTCGATTCTCAGGAGAACCAAACGCTATTGAGAACTGCGCCTGCCAGGGGTCTAGGCTGCGGGCTCCTCAGGAGAAGCGAATCCTGGTGATCCCAGGTGGAACGGTTTCATCCGGAAACCATCCCACCCTTCTTCTGTGTAAAAATTACCTTCCATGAAACCGCTCCCTTGTGCCAAAAGGTTGGGGGCCGCTGTCCTAGAGGGCCTCGGCCACGGGCTCGTCTCCCACGTGCTGCCTCCCACTGTCCACGCACAAATTCCCCAGGCCAGCGAGCTCCCCTGCCTCGGTGCACGCCCCGGCCTCCCGCGTGGGTTTGCTGTCCCGCCCTGTCCCCGTCCAACTGGCCTCCCAACTCGTTGCTGTTTTGTCCACAAAGCGGGGCCGGCCTGCAGCAGGAGGCCCTCCCGGCCCGGGCTCGGGCCCACCACAGCGTCGCCTTCCTGGAATCCCCGCGCCCCGGGGCCGTGGACACGGGCGGTTCACATGCTTGGTTACTTTTCCTTTTCTGCTGGTCTAAGGGCGGGTCCCCGCAATGCCGAGCACATGGCCGTGTGTATCCCGGTGTCCAGGGGCCTTTGCAGAT